AACTCTAACTTTACAGAGCAACTTTGCTGATAGATAATACTTTCAGGCAGATCAAGCTAACCACAAAAGCTCCTGTCCACCAGACACCGAATGGAAGTCCCGGGTGGGATGGAGCTGTGACTGCAACATTTATGATGTGGATCGGAACACTGGAAACTGACTCTCAGCAGACAGCTCGTATTGTCTGAGGTACTAAGCACAAATCCCTGACTCTCGTAGTTGGGGATGGGTGGGGATAAGGTGGGAAAGGCTCACAATGCTGCAAAATGGACACTCTGACTTCCTATCTGCTTACGGTCCTATGCTCTAATCTCTAGCTGCTGACTTGAACTTGAGAAAGTAATCATAGACAGCTGCCAGTTAACACTTAACTGCTAAAAACAAATATCCAAAATCCACTAACTAGGGGCTGGAGAGATGGCTCAGAGGTTAAGAGCACTGGCTATTCTTCCAAAGGTCCTGAGTTCAATTCCTAGCAACCACGTGGTGGCTCACAACCATCTGTAATGCGATCTGGTGCCCTCTTCAGGCCTGCAGGCACACATGCAGGCATAAATAATAAATAAATCTTTAAAAGAAAACACTAACTAAATGTCTTTCTAAATGTGGGTTGTTTTTGCTTTGTTTTGTTTTGTTCATTTGTTTTTTTGATGGTGAATCTCTGAAAAGTGGCATGGTTTTAATGGCACTTCCTTATGTCATTAGTACTGCTGGCTTTTGGAGAAAGTCAGCTCTTCGCTGTACGAAAAGTTAATTAGCGTACTGAAGTCAAACCTAAGAGAACCAGAATGCATGAAAACACACTCATTCATCAACTACTTAATGCCTGTTATGGCCAAAGAGTCTAATTTCTAGATCCTGTGAGTTATGCAGATATGAGTGCTAGTTTTAGTTCTGGTCTCTCTCATGGGACAGAGAGAGAGAAAAGCTAATATTTTTGTTTGCCTATGGCACGCTGGGCAGTCCTCTAAATGTCTCTCATGGCTATTACCACATCAGCCATATGGGATAGGTGAAATTATTAAACACATACTTGTCTAAGCATGCATATATATATATATATATATATATATATATATATATATATAT